GCGAGTTGGATGATATGCGCCATCGATTGCGCACAATGGAAGAAATGTACGCCGAGGCAACACGGGCTAACCAAACAGCGTCTCCCTCCAGAGTCCCAGGCGTACCCAGAGAGAAGGGAGACTAAGTTCCATCTCTCCACCCTGGTGACCGCGAGCCTATTCCCAACAATGAGGAAGTGGATTATAGCTTGCGGGACAATGACCTTCGAAAGCACCTTGCTGATAAAAAGAAGAGAGCGTCGCGAGGACCAGAAGACTCTCCGTCTTACTCCCGAGAGTTCTCCAACTCCGACCTCAAGGCTCAATCAAAGTATAAGCCTCTGACACCAGAAGCTGTGATCACCAGGGAAGAGTTCGACCTGATGAAACACAGGTTCGACGAACAGGTCGAGGCGCTTAAGGCTAGGTGCGAGAAGAAGGAGAGCTCGCTTGACGATGGCGACCTAGGAGAATCGCCATTCACCTCGGACATTTTGGAGGCTCCAATCCCTCCAAAGTTCAAGACTCCCACCATGAAGTCTTATGATGGGTCTAAGGACCCAAAAGACTATGTTGAGGTCTTCGAAGGCCTCATGGACTTTCAAACGGCAACAGATGCAATCAAGTGCCGCGCCTTCCAGATCGCGCTCACCGACAGCGCGCCTGTGGTATCGAAGACTGCCGGCCAGGTCAATCTCGACCTATTCTCAGTTGAGGAAAGAGTTTATTAGTCAATTCTCTTCTCGGCATTATGATAGAAAGACAGCAACTCACCTCGCCACCATCAGACAGAAGGAAGGTGAGACGTTGAGAGAATATGTCACAAGGTTCCAGGAGGAGCAGCTAAAAGTCGCGCACTGCTCCGATGATTTGGCCATGTGCTACTTCCTCACCGGCCTGGCCGATGAGACTCTCACCGTGAAGCTTGGAGAGGAGGCTCCAGCTACCTTTGCCGAAGTGCTACAGAAGGCGAAGAAAGTCATTGATGGACAAGAGCTCCTTCGAACCAAGACTGGCCGACCAGAAAAGAAAATCGACCAGCGGAGAGTTGGCAAAGATAAGGGAAAGACTGATGCCAAGTCCAAAGATAAAGGACCATCCTCCTCCAGTAGCCGAGCTGAGTATCGTAGGTCGGAAAACGGCCCCAGTCGAAGCCGACCTTACGAACGTTATACTCCGATCACCATCCCAATTTCTGAAATACTTACAAACATTGAGGAAACTGGGATGGAAAAGCTCCTTAAGTGACCTGAGAAGCTCCGGGGAGACCCAGAAAAACGTAACAAAGATAAATATTGCCGTTTTCATCACGATCACGGCCATAATACGTCAAATTGCTGGGAACTGAAGTGCCAGATTGAAGATCTCATTCAAGATGGTTACTTCAAAAAATTTGTGGGCAAACCGAGGTCCAACTTGGTGGAAAAGAAAGAAGAGAGGAAGCGTTCAAGGACGCCGCCTCGCCGAGATGACCGACCTGCGGTCATCAACACTATTTTTGGAGGCCCAAGTGGGGGCCAATCTGGAAATAAAAGAAAAGAACTAGCTCGCGAAGCCAGGCGCGAGGTGTGCATCATCAGGGAGCAGAGACCGACCTGCTCCATTACTTTCGACGATACCGACCTGGAGAGGGTCCACTTGCCCCACAATGACGCGCTTGTGATTGCTCCTCTCGTTGATTACGTCGTAGTCAGAAGAGTGCTGGTAGATGGAGGTGCATCCGCCAACATCTTGTCCCTTTCAACATATCTTGCCTTGGGATGGACCAGGTCGCAGCTGAAGAAGAGTCCGACACCCTTGGTTGGATTCTCTGGAGAATCGGTCTCTCCAGAAGGGTGTATCAACTTGCCGATTTCGATTGGGCAAGATGATACACAGGTAACTCAGATGGCCGAGTTCGTCGTGATCGACGGAAGATCGGCCTACAACGCTATCTTTGGGAGACCCATCATCCATTCGTTCCAGGCCGTTCCTTCAACGCTTCATCAAGTCTTGAAATACTCAACTCCCAATGGAGTGGGCACGGTCCGAGGGGAGCAGAAGACTTCAAGGGAGTGTTATGCCTCCGCGCTTAAAGGGTCGTCAGTATGCGCCCTAAAAGAACAAACAATTCGGGACAAGCTGTGAGAGTCCGAGGCCAACCTACCTAGAGAAGCCAAAAGGCAGTTTTCTGCACCAACAGAGGAGCTCGAGCTTGTTCCCGTGCTTAGCCCTGAAAAACAAGTAAGCATAGGAACCAAGCTGGGGCCACTGATAGGGAAGAGCTGATCAACTTCCTCAGGTCCAACTCGGACGTCTTCGCATGATCTCACGAGGACATGCCAAGCATCGACCCAAAGATCATGGTGCATCGCCTCAACATAGACCCATCATTCCGACCTGTAAAGCAAAAAAGAAGACCTGTAAATAAGGAGAGGAGTAATGTAATTGTTGAGGAAGTTAACAAGCTATTAAAAGCTGAATATATTAGAGAAATTCTGTATCCCGAGTGGCTCTCTAATGTTGTATTAGTTAAAAAATCCAACGGGAAGTGGAGAATGTGTGTGGACTTCACAAATTTAAATAAGGCATGCCCAAAAGACTGYTTCCCCCTGCCGAGGATCGACCAGCTCGTGGACGCAACAGCTGGGCACGAGCTGCTCACCTTCATGGATGCCTACTCCGGATACAACCAAATCAAAATGCATGTGTCAGACCAAGATCATACCGCGTTCATAATAGACTAAGGTCTGTACTGCTACAAAGTGATGCCCTTCGGCCTAAAGAATGCAGGCGCGATCTACCAAAGGATGGTGAACAAAATGTTCACCAAGCAGATCGGTCGGAATATGGAAGTATATGTGGACGACATGCTTGTCAAGAGCAAGCAGTCAAAGTCGCATCTTTCCGATCTGACCGAAGCCTTTGGAGTTCTGCGGAAGTATCAAATGAAGCTCAATCCAGCCAAATGTGCCTTTGGAGTCTCCTCGGGAAAGTTCCTTGGTTTTATGGTAAACAACCGTGGGATCGAAGCCAACCCAGAGAAGATAAAGACCGTGCTCGAGATGGAAGCCCCAAAACTCTGAAACAGCTTCAATGCCTCAATGGAAGGATTGCAGCTTTGAACAGGTTTGTTTCAAGGTCGACTGACAAATGCCTTCCTTTCTTCAAAGTCCTAAGAAAGAAGGGACCATTTGAACGGATGGCAGAGTGCGAGCAGGCATTGGAACAATTGAAAAACTATCTCTTCGGCACCTCTGCTCGCAAAACCGTTGCCAGGGGAGAAGCTCCACTTATACCTGGCAGTGTCCGACAGCACTGTCAGCTCGGCCCTAATCAAGCAGGAGGGAGTGCGCCAAAGTCCCGT